CTGGCCATACAAATCTAGAGAAGGCAAACATTTTGGAACATATAAATCTGATGCTCCTTGGATGAGTAAATCTTTTTCAAACCTGATGTAGATGACAGGGCGATGGAGGGAGCAAACCACCACCATGCCATGTATATACCTATGTAATAAACCTGCATGATCTGCACATGTACCTCAGAACTTAAAGCATAATAAATTAATTTTTTAAAAAAGCGAAAAAGTATAATGTTTCATCAAAGTTATATGATGTGCAGAGTTGGCAAATTTTCAGCATATTTTTAGAATATAACTTGTTAATTTGATTATTTAGAGATAAATTTGTCATTTTATACTTGATTAACTGAATATTGGCATATATAATTCTGCTTGAATTATTAAAAATAAATGCAACTATGCTTATATAATCTGGCAGATCTGTAATTATTTTTCTTTTGTCACCTGGAGAAACGAACATGCTTCATTACTGCAAATTTCCGCCCTCAGATGACTTATTCCCCTGCCTTCATTATGGTCATTGGTCATAAATGGCACATAGTTAAGGGATTCTTTATTAGTGGCAGACAGGGTATATTTACATCTTAACTCCAAGGAAGACTCAAATCTGAAGTTCTCTAACTTTAAAATAATGCTTTTCCTGAATAATTTTTAAGAGGCAGGAGAAAGATGATTAAATCATCTCTGGGATAAAATATGTGTATTTTCAAAAGCTCCATTCAAGTATAGCAGATGTAAAACATAAATTGGGTAAGCTGCAGTACAGCACTGAGCATCTTAACTCCAGGTTAGTAAGAGCCTTTGCAATAAATATAAATGTACATAAAATATAAGTCAAATAGAGACTAATTTATTATCCATTAAATCATTGAATTACATCATAACTTGCAAGTTAAAATTATTTTTTTCATTGAGTTTGATTTATATTTTAATTTAAAAATACCATTGATTTGTATGCAAAATCAATCTCATTTTTTTCTGATTATAAATTTAACATTTATTTGCTTTTAGATGACTTTACAAATCATAAAGAGTTCTCAGAAATTAGAACTTTGAGACTATTTTATTACATTTCTTTTAATATCCATTTTAAAGCACTATGAAGATATAATTTATAAAGTTGACTCACTTTAAGTGTAAAATTCAATGGTTTTTAGTGTATTTACAGAGTTGTACAATCATTCACCAATATCTAACGGTAGAATATCTTTGATTCAATAACAAATTGAGTTCTTTTATGTTTGTTTCCTAAGTTTTCCATTTGATTATTTCAACTTTCTGTTCACTTAATCTTTATAAAACAATATATTAAATATAATTATGTTTTAGATTTGCAAGTGAAATTTTTCAGGGGCATAAAAAGGAAAAGAATATGAATAAAAGCATAGCTCTATGACCTGTGATATGTGTGCTAGAATGGGTGTCAGAGGAATCTAACTACACTTTCTAAGAATTTTTGCTTTGTGGTTATGTCCATTGTGCCAGCTGGGGATTTTGGCTTCAGATTTAAAATTTCAAAGTAAAAATGAGTAGCATCTAATTGTCAAAAAAGTGTTGCAATTAAGTGATTTAATGTAATGCTTTTATAAAAAATCAAGAGGAACCAGAGGAATTTAGAATTTTTGTTATCTTCACAGCAGTGTGGTTGAGATGGGTACTATTTGAGTGGACTAAAGAAGAAGTGGTAATCATTAATCCCTTTAGATCCTAAAAATCTATTACTATATTAAGTTCTCATTGTTAGGCTGTTTCACAACTAGAATAAGTTACTTTATTTTCCTGTAGAAGTCTTACAAGACTCTTCTTTTATGTTATATTCTTCAATTTTATAAAGGAGCAACATTAAAAAGCTCATGTGAAGGAGAGTCCTGCATCTTTTTTTTGTAATTTCTCATGAAGGATTCTATGTGAAACCCCTTATAAAAAGGCTTATACAATATTTTCCCCTCAGTGTGAAGAGTGAGACTCCAGTTTATTGCTCATAAAAAATAAATAATGGAACCTATGCATCCTGTTCCATTTCATCTGAAATCTCAGAGATACATTTTAAAATAACATGATGAACTTATTAGTCAATCATGTGTAATGGTGAAAACATCCCCAAATATTATTGCATAGGTGTTACGCTCTGGACCTTGTTGAGAGGTCTTGGAAATATCCTTTTCATTGAAAGTCATCTAACTATTTTTGTACTCATTAATGAACCTCCCTTTATCCTCCCGCCTTCTCCACTACCCTTCCCATTCTCTGGTAGCCATTTTTCTACTCTCTATCTCCATGAGTTTATTTTGTTTAGCTTCCACATAATAATTTAAAATGTTATTAAAAAGAAAGTCATCCTAAATCTTCTCAGAGAAAGTTTTTAAATAACAAATCTATCTATAAATGAATTAGATCAAAGGCTTTTTATCCCAAAGTAATTAATTTAAATATAATAAGAGCAAAAATAAAAATCTGCGGGGAGAGAAAACTGATCCTAGATTAAGTGACTTATTTCTTTGTGTATTGATTGGTTTTTATACCAAATAAAGCGAGATGAAAAAATGTGTTCATGTCTTATAGATACAGTCTGAATGAATGAGTGCGTAAGTGAGTTAATGAATAAGGAAGAAGATAGCCCGACTATTACCAGGAGAAGTCTTGGAAGGGACTGAGATTTTCAAAATTCCAAAGGAAACATTATGAAGATAACCAAGTTGGTAAAATAATTTAAAAATAATTGAGTAAATATTTCAAATAGATGATTTTATAGTATATAAGTTATACCTTAATAAAGTGGTTGGGAAAAAAAGAAATATTTCAAGCAGGATTAATATGGGAGAAATCTCAACATTATGGCTCTACAGAAAGCAATTTCTTGAGCTGAAATTTAACTGGAGAATAAGATATGAATGCCCAGAACCAGATCTATTTTTTAGCTCATTTAATTAAAAGCATAAAAACATATTTTACCATATTTTTATTCATTTTTTGAGAAAAAAAGAATTATAATAGTAAAAGCAAGATTACAAAGAAATATATTAATATAATACTCTATGTCTCTGTTAGACTGATAAGTAACAGTCTATACTCTTCTGCCTTCATCCTTCCACGTTTTCTCTCTAGTTTGCTGATTATGGCTCATATTTCCAGCATGTTGAAATATCCTGTAAGTCTGAAAGTAAATCCTGTCAGATTTGTGTTATCTAAACTTGTAAATCATATCATAGCGAGGTTGTTGATGAACACCAAGAAAGAGGAAAGAGTCCCATGGTCTGCAGATATAGGTTGCCCTCCTTTATGGCATAGATTGATACTTTAAATAAAACTCTATGTAACCGTGCTATTATTTAGATCATATTTTCCTCAAAGAGGTTACCTGAGAATATGAAAAAAGCCATTCTACAGCTAACATATAACACAATAAATGAGACTTGTATGAAATTGCTAGGCAATATACATAGCTTTGGTACATGATTTGGGAGGTATTCTGTATTTATACATCATTTCCTGCCCATAGTCTTTATCTCCAAAACATGTTTTTTAGCTTTAAGCAACCGTTGAGGAACAAAATTTGCTTCTCTTTGATTCAGAAAAACATGTTGATCATATTTGTACATAGATACATCTACCTATCCACATGCCTTTGCTAGGTTTTGTTTTGTGTGTGTGTGGATAAATGGAGAGAGAGGAAGAAGAAGAGACACTTGATAATGTACATGCAGTTTTCCATGTTTTTTGTGTTGACATTTTTTAAAATGAGGCTTTAATTTCAGTAATTAGTGCATAAGAATAATTAATTATCCATTGGGCAATGATATCAACACAGATGGTGAGAAGATAGTACCCCTGAAAAAAACCTTTATATTCTCAGTTCTCTGAAGAAATTTTAGTTCACCTACTGCACTTGATTGATCCATGTTTTTATACAGACAGAGGGCACAGAAAGAAGGAAAAAAATATGTTCCTGCAACTCTGGCTTAAGCAGAAGCCTTCCAGAATGTCTAACTGCCCCTCGGGAATCACTGGAGTTTGAAAAGGCAAATAGACATATTTGCTAGTATATAACATTCCATATTTTAGATTAGTTCTTGCAAGTTAAAAATTATGCAGAGCTAACACTTAGTTGATCATTTTCATGTGTCAGGCAGTTAACAGGCACTTTCACTTGCTTCTTTTCTTCCTTCCTCTCCCTCTCTCTTTCTTTCTAATTGACAAATAAAAATTATATACCTTTGTGGAGTTTATGTCCTTTGCAGGGACATGGAAACCATCATTCTCAGCAAACTGACACAAGAACAGAAAGCCAAACACCACATGTTCTCACTCATAAGTGGGAGTTGAATAATGGGAACACACGGGCACAGGGAGGGGAACATCACACACCAGGGCCTGTCATGGGGTGGTGGATGGGGAGGGATAACATCAGGAGAAATACCTTATGTAGGTGACAGGTTGATGGGTGCAGCAAACTACCATGGCACGTGTTTACCTATGTAACAAACCTGTGCGTTCTGCACATGTACAGAACTTAAAGTCTACTTTAAAAATAATAAAACTAATTATATACCTTTATAATTATAATACCTACATACCTGTACAACAAGATGTTTTCATATATCTAAACATTGTGGAATGGCTAAATCAAGCCATTTAACATATACATTACCTTACATACTTATTTTTTGTGATGAGAATGCAAAATATACTCAGTGATTTTCATATGTATACTATATTGCTATTAGCTATAATCACCATGAGGTACAACAGATCTCTTGAATTTCTTCCGTCTGATTGAAACTTTGTTCTTTGATGAACTTATCCCCCATCCTCCTACTTCCCAGCTTCCGGTAAACATCATATTACTTTCTGTTTCTGTAAGTTTGACTTTTTTAGATTCCACATACTAAATGACATCATTTGACATTTATCTTTCTGTGCCTGGGTTATTTCACTTAACACATTGTCCTTCAGGCGTTGTTGCAATTAACAGGATTTTTTTTCTTTATTTAGATTTCAAACCTGAGGCAATGGACCTGCAGAACTATTCCTTGGTGTCTGAATTTGTGTTGCATGGACTCTGCACTTCACGACATCTTCAAAATTTTTTATTTATATTTTTCTTTGGCATCTATGTGGCCATTATGCTGGGTAACCTTCTCATTTTGGTCACTGTAATTTCTGATCCCCGCTTGCACTCCTCCCCTATGTACTTCCTGCTAGGGAACCTATCTTTCCTGGACATGTGGCTAGCCTCCTTTGCCACTCCCAAGATGATCAGGGATTTCCTTAGTGATCAAAAACTCATCTCCTTTGGAGGATGTATGGCTCAAATCTTCTTCTTGCACTTTACTGGTGGGGCTGAGATGGTGCTACTGGTTTCCATGGCCTATGACAGATACGTGGCCATATGCAAACCTTTGTATTACATGATTTTGATCAGTCGGCAGACTTGCATCAGGCTGGTGCTGGCTTCATGGGTCATTGGATTTGTGCACTCCATCAGTCAAGTGGCTTTTACTGTGAATTTACCTTACTGTGGCCCCAATGAGGTAGACAGCTTCTTCTGTGACCTCCCTCTGGTGATCAAACTTGCCTGCATGGACACCTATGTCTTAGGTCTAATTATGATCTCAGACAGTGGGTTGCTTTCCATGAGCTGTTTCCTGCTCCTCTTGATCTCCTACACTGTGATCCTCCTCACTGTCCGAAAACGTGCTGCTAGTAGCGCATCCAAAGCACTCTCCACTTGCTCTGCACATATCATGGTAGTTACGCTGTTCTTTGGCCCTTGCATTTTTATTTATGTGTGGCCTTTCAGTAGGTTCTTTGTGGACAAGCTCCTGTCTGTGTTTTATACCATTTTTACTCCCCTCCTGAACCCCATTATCTACACATTGAGAAATGAGGAGATGAAAGCAGCCATGAAGAAACTACAAAACCGACGGGTAACTTTTCACTGAATTCCAGCCTTCCATAGTACCACATGTTTCTACTTCTTCAGGGGATATAATTTCTTTAATATAATTCTGCTTAAAGATTTCATTCTGACATTACATTTATATAATTTGTAATGTGTTATATTACAGAGAAACGTTGATTTCAACAAAAATATATCATTTTATTTTATATTATAAATTTGTATACATATTACATATATGCATAATGTATGTATTTATATTACAAATATATATACATGTATGTGCATATTTCAAGCACCATTTCAAGATCCTATTGATTTAAAAAATATTCTTTTCCTAGTAAATGTGTATTGTACTGAACACTTTGATTTAATAAATGAATACATTCCAGTGATTTTCATTAAAGAAATTAGTTTTAACACTGGAAAATCCAATATTTAACAGTAAAACTAAATATTTTATAATGTAAACACAAACTATGGTGTTACATTTAATACATATTAAATTATTAAATTAACACATTTTTACCCAAACTAGATTTTCAGTAAACACTGCATCTCTTTCTGATACGATTCTATCTCCTGGGGAGTCATTTATTAGGAAGTGTGTGTTTGAATGCCATGGATTCAGATCTATGCAGAGTTTTTACATGTCCATGGATCTTAAGACAATTATAAACAAGAGTTTAATTTGATTTTTACTAAATTAATGTTCAGGGAACTCAAGCAATTTTTCTCCTAGGTTGACTCTGAGACATCAAACCAAAGGAGAGAAATTGGGTGATGATTGAGTTACTTAAGCAATATTCAGTTGGAACTTCCAATAACTTTGGATACTGTATTCAATCCAGGAAGGCATGCTTCTGGGTACTTCTGACTTGCCTTATGATTCCAATCCTAAACATATGCATAAAAAGAAAAGAACATAGAAGGAAAATAATTTCTGCCTTAATATAAAGTCCCCTTGCCTATTATGCTAATACTATTTTTTTGATTTATCGACTGTGGACATAGTCAATTTTTACAATCAATTATACCTATGTATGTGAACATTAACAAAAGCTTAAAGAGAAACAAACATCTGTCTTAAAAGTAATTTTCTTAGTTGTTATTGATGTAATATTGATCATTGATTTGTTGAAGACTCTGGACATAGCTTTTTAATCAAAATATAACAAATATTATCTATGTATTTTTTTAATTGTATGCTTTTCAATTACTCGCTACATTTCAGATTACAGGCAATGGTCTAGGAGTGAAGATAGAGTATTTGAGAACATACATTACCAGACACATGAATCTTTTCATTTAGTGAAATAAAGACAAGTATACAGACAATTACAAAATATGAGGCAAAATGACAGAAATAAACAGGATAACCTCGGAGAGTGCATCAAAGGGAAACCTAATCCAATCCTGATTGTTAGGAAGCCCTTATTCCTTCAAATTTTCTTTGATTTTTCTAGAATTCTGTCTTATTAAGTTATATATATAATTATATATTAAAATATATTTATATATAATATATAGTGTGTATATGTTTTATGCACTATAAATATATATAGTATGTATATATAATGTGTGTATTTGTATATAAATATACATGTATAGTCAGTGTGTGTGTTTAGCATAGTAAAGTCATGTAGTAAATTTCCAGTATATATACCAGATCACATCAGGTGTGTCTGACTTCTCAGAACTATCCAATTGCTCATGCTCCACTCCTAATCTCTGCTCAGCTGTCCACATTGCTTTGTCCAGATCCATAACAATAAATGTGGATCATTGCACTCTCCAGGCACAGACATTCTTGGGGTTTAACTAGTAGTCTGGACTGAGTAAACATGGCTATTGCTACGTTAGTGAAACTTGATAAAAATCACGAGTTTTTGTTATAAATGCACATAAACAATGTGCATTTGCAGATAACTTGTTACAGTCAATTCAGAGGAAGCCACAGGTTTCAAATTAGAGGAATCCTCTTGAATGTTGAGGAGGCATTTACAAAACACATTTTCTAATTTGAAATGAGGTAAGTTAAATACATATTACAGTGAATGTTTTAAAATGCAAATAATGCTTCCTTCATGAGCTATTGTAAGGCAAGCCTTGTGGTGAAGAAATGTGGCAATTCCTCAAGGACCTAGAAATAGAAATTCCATTTGACCCAGCAATCCCATTACTGAGTATATATCCAAAGGATTATAAATCATTCTATTATAAGGACACATGCACATGAATGTTCATTGCAGCACTGTTTACGATAGCAAAGATTGGAACCAACCCAAATGTCCATCGATGATAGACTGGACAGGGAAAATGTGGCACATGTACACCATGGAATACTTTGCAGCCATAAAAAAATGATGAGTTTGTGTCCTTTGTAGGGACGTGGATGAACCTGGAAACCATCATTGTCAGCAAACTGACACAGAACAGAAAATCAAACACCACATGTTCTCACTCATAGGTGGATGTTGAACAATGAGAACACATGGACACAGGGAGGGGAGCATCACACATTGGGGTCTGTGATGGGGAACTAGGGGAGGGACAGCTGGGGTGGGGAGGTGGGGAGGGATAACGTGGGGAAAAATGCTAGATATAGGTGATGGGGAGGAAGGCAGCAAACCACATTGTCTTGTATGTACCTATGTAACAATCTTGCATGTTCTTCACATGTACCCTCAAACATAAAATGCAATAAAATATACGTGTGTGTGTGTGTATATATATATATATACACATATATATTTTATACATATATATATATACATATATAAAGAAAAAAAGAAAAATCTCTCAGCAATTGCTTGTCTGTAAAGGATTTTATTTTTCCTTCACTTATGAAGCTTAGTTTGGCTGGATATGAAATTCTGGATTGAAAGTTTTTTTCTTTAAATATGTTAAATATTGGCCCCAACTCTCTTCTGGCATGTAGGATTTCTTTCTAGAGATCTGCTGTGAGTTTGATGGGCTTCCCTTTGTGGGTGACACGACCTTTCTCTCTGGCTGCCCTTAACATTTTTTACTTCATTTCTACCCTGGTGAATCCAACTATTATGCCCCTGGCAGTTGCTCTTCTTGAGGAGCATCTTTGTGGTGTTCTCTGTATTTCTTGGATTTGGATGTTGGCCTGCCTTGCCAGGTTGGGGAAGTTCTCCTGGATAATATCCTGAAGAGTGTTTTCCAGCTTGGATTCATTCTCCCTGTCACATTCAGGTACACCGATCAAGCGTAGATTAGGTCTTTTCACATAATCCCATATTTCTTGGGGGCTTTGTTAGGTATCGATGAAATGTATTTCAAAACAATAAAAGCTACTTAGAACAAACCCACAGCCAATATCATACTGAATGGGCAAAAACTGGAAGCATTTCTTTTGAAAACTGACACCAAACAAGTATGCCCTCTCTCACCACTCCTATTCAGTATAGTATTGGAAGTTCTAGCCAGAGCAATTAGGCAAGAAAAAGAAATAAAGGTATTCAATTAGGAAAAGAGGAAGTCAAATTGCCTCTATTTGCAAATAACATGACTGCATATTTAAAAGACCCCGTCATCTAAGCCTAAAACCTCCTTAAGCTGATAAGCAACTTCAGCAAAGTCTCAGGATACAAAATCAATGCAGAAATCACAAGCGTTCCCATACACCAATAACAGTCAGAGAGCCAAATTATGAGCAAACTCCTATTCACAATTGTTACAAAGAGAATAAAATACCTAGGAATACAACTAACAAAGGATGCAAAAGACTTCTTCAAGGAGAACTACAAACCACTGCTCAAGGAAATAAAAGAGGACACAAACAGACGGAAAAACATTCCATGCTCATGGTTAAGAAGAATCAATATCATGAAAATGGCCATACTGCCCAAAGTAATTTATAGATTCAGTGCTATCCCCATCAAGCTACGATCGACCTTCTTCACAGAACTGGAAAAAAACACTTTAAACTTCATATGGAACCAAAAGAGAGCCCTCATATCCAAGACAATCCTAAGCAAAAAGAACAAAGTGGGAGGCATCACACTACCTGACTTTGAACTATATTATAAGGCTACAGCAATCAAAACAGCATGGTACTCATACTGAAACAGACATAGAGACCAATGGAAGAGAACAGAGGCCTTGGAAGCAATACCACACATCTACAACCATCTGATCTTTGACAAACCTGACAAAAACAAGCAATGGGGAAAGAATTCCCTGTTTAATAAATGGTGCTGGGAAAACTGGCTAGCCATATGCAAAAACTGAAACTTGACCCATTCCTCACATCTTATACAAAAATTAACTCTAGATAGATTAAAGATTTAAACATAAGACCTAACACCATAAAATCCCTAGAAGAAAGCCTAGGCAACACCATACAGGACATAGGCATAGGCAAGGACTTCATGACTAAAACACCAAAAGCAATGGCAACAAAAGCCAAAATAGACAAATGGGATCTAATTAAACTTAAGAGCTTCTGCACAGCAGAAAAAACAATCATGACAGTGAACCAGAAACCAACAGAATGGGGAAAAAATTTTGCAATCTACCCATCTGACAAAGGGCTAATATCCAGAATCTACAAAGAACTACAACAGATGTACAAGAAAAAAGCAAACAAACCCATTCAAAAGTGGGCAAAGGATATGAACAGACACTTTTCAAAGGAAAACATTTATGTGACCAACAAGCACATGAAAAAATGCTCATCATTATTGGTCATTAGAGAAATGCAAATCAAAACCACATTGAGATACCATCTCACACCAGTTAAAATGGCAATCATTAAAAAATCTGGAGACAACAGTTGCTGGAGAATATGTGAAGAAAAAGGAACAATTTTAGATTTTTGGTGGGAGTGTAATTTAGTTCAACCATGTTGGAAGACAATATGGAGATGCCTCAAGAATCTAGACATAGAAATTCCATTTGACCCAGCAATCCCATTGCTTGGGATTAGTAGTTTACAAAATTGGTATCTTTTTTAATAAATTGGCATTGAATTTTACAGTATTTTACTACATCTATCAATATGCAAACATAGTT